TAACTTAAGAAAGTCATTATAGGACATAAGAAACTTAGTTACTCCGACGAGTGTTTGTTAAGAAAGCCATTACTGACGGCCATTAGCTAATGGATATCTAGATAATATCATAATAGAGAAAAAGTGCATGATTTAGATCGCTTACTCGGTATAAGTGACATAACTATAGGCATTTTAATGTTATTTTGAGGTAAAGTAAGTAGATTGATAAGCGTTTCAACATAAAGCTCGTTATATTTGCATCCTAGTATAGTATATAATGATACCTAGTAGTCAATTGCAATATCCTTTTGCATGATGCAGGAGTGTACAAGCTTGATTGTGAATGTGCTCTCTCTTACTTAAAACATACTAAGGGTTTTCATTTCGATAGCAACCAAATTTGACAAAAATACTTATTTAGCCTTGATCACAGAACACAATTACTCTCTACTCAGAGGTCTTGACATTTCACCATGGAACGCTACACAGTTCAACAACGCGTTGAAATTGTTAAAGTTTATTATCAAAATCAGTGCTCCGTTCGTAGTTCCGCAGTGCCAGTGAGTCAAGCCAATCGTAAAGAGCTCGGTCGTCGACGATTCGAACAGCTCTGCGCTGGATGCGATCAAATGGGAGGAGCTGTGATAAATAAAAGGCCAATTTGGTCATTTCTTCCAAGTCACCACGAAACTGCACGTCACTCGATATGTCGACACCGAGGATTCCAATACTGGCTGAGGCAACAAAGGGAGTGGCCTTGCAACTAAGGAGATACGATGATAGGGGTTTTTAGCGGTAAACGCGCAAACTTGTGTCTTCTGGGGATTAAACTGGACTAGATTTAGTCGCCCCCAGTCCGAGACTTTGTTCAACAAAGTTTCGACTTCAGATACAAGTGTGTCCCGGTACTCTGCGATGATTTCCTGAGAAATATTGGCACGACCGGTGTATAAAGCATCACCAGTGCTGTCGTCCGCATAGCAATGAATGGTTCCGGTTTGCAACATATCATTAATATGCAGAAAAAAACAGCGTTGGTGATAGCACGCAGCCTTGTGGAACACCAGCGTTAATGGGCTTATAATCGGAGCATGCACCGTCTACTACGACCTTGATGCCCCGATCAGTAAGAAAACTGGTGATCCAATTGCACATTTTCTCGGGAAGCCCATAGGAAGGAAGCTTCGTAAGAAGTAATCTACAAGGTACTGCATGGTCTGGCTGTTAATAACGGATTCCATTATTTTAGAAAACAAGGAGGTGATGGCGATAGGCCTGTAGTTGAACGGATCAGAGCGGTTATCTTTTTTAGGGATTGGGTGCACGAAGGCTGTCTTCCATGATTTCGGGACTACGTCTAGGGAGTAGGAGTACCAGAAAAGACGCGTTAAGACCGGTGCCAATTCCGGAGCACACGTCTTTAGTACAATAGAGGGACGCCATCCGGCCAACGGTAACCGGTAAACGGGACATCCTGCATGGAGTACTTACTCCGCGGTATAGTCAGCAGTGTGTTCCCCCCGTCATCAAGAGTCGAGTTGGACGCAAAGAGAGAGCCCAGCAGATTGGCTTTGTCCTTTGCGGCGTGGGCCAGTGAGTCGTTCTCCCTGTGCAGAGATGGGAGAGATGGCTGACAGGAGTTTCCTTGGACAGAGACTAGAATTCACGTGTTTCCGAAAGAAGACGATCTAGTTTCTCGCCATTTCTGCCAATGTGCTCTGACTTTGCCTTGACAATGACACTTTTGAAAGATCTGGAGGCAGAATTGTACTTCGTTTTAGGGCGCTGGTTTTGCATTCCAAGACGTCAATGCACGAGCTCAGGCCTGGTAGCACTCCTGCTTATGGCGTAGTACAATTTTACAGGAGCGACCAAACGAAAGCTGGGTTCTACCTCCGATAGGTACCACAGATGAAGGAATAAACGGTTCTATTCCCTGTAGCACCACATCAGCGACAGAATCAGCAACAACGCTGGGATCATCCGGCATCAAGAAAACCCGCCCCCAAGGGTAGGACGCAAAAAAAGATCGCACCCCGTCCCGGTCTGCTGACCTATAATAACAAACACAGCGGCAAGCTGCGGTACGCAACCGCGATGAGTGCGTGAGTGGCACCATACTCCGGATCAGACAATGGTCCGAGGAGCCAAGAGGGGTATCGACGGAGACCTGATATCCGTTTGGATGAGAGGTCAGCAGAAGGTCCAACAGGGAAGGTACATGACCTTCTACATCTGGGATCCGCGTAGGCGAGTTTACCAGTTGTGTCAGACCATATGCCAAAGCAATGTCGTAAACAGATCTACCCGCATGATCGGTTAAACGATCATCTCCATTTTAAGTTCAATAGAGAAGATGACTAAGTGCTACTGAGTGCTGCTTGATATCCTATAATTAATAAAATTAAATCCCAACCCAAGCATACTTCAAAATACGTTCTGCGTAGATAAAGATATAATAATTTTAAACAGAACTAACTGTGACATTGAGACGTCGACCTTACTCTACCCCTGAACAAGAGTGCTATGTATAAAGCACTAGAAACTTCGATAAAATTCATAAAAATGAGTTTAATTCGCATAGGAAGTCGATGGATACATATGGCTTAGGACCGTGCTTTGTAGCGTTCCTTGGGGGAAGACCTATATTCATTAGTAGAAATGTGATAGGCTTTAATGAAGGTGATAATAATGATGGACTTACTATAACTCGTTAATATTTAATAATGAGATGTCAAAATTTTCTTAAACCATCGTTATATTCTAATATGATAGCGACGCGTCCTGCCTTTGCTTCTCAAAAACACTTTATTTTACTAGTTTAATTTAATTTATAGCTTTGAGTTTTTCTTATAAAATGTAGCCCACTACCGGCATTATATGTCTATTCGTGAAGTTTCATTTCAATAGATTCAGCCAATCTGAAGATTAGACAAAGAGATAAAAAAATTAAAATATTTATTTATGTTTTAATGGCATGCAAATAACCCCTCAGCTCAATATAAGGTAGTCATTTCGAAATAACGGGCAGAAACTTTTAAATTTAAATTTTAAATTATATATATATATATATATATATATATATATATATATATATATATATATATATATATATATATATATATATATGTATATATAATTGCTCCTAGATTTCTACGTGAATAAATTGTTTATATAAAACAAAATAAAGTAACAAATTAGCATGCAAAAGAGGACCAACAGGCAAAATTTATTTTTATTATGTGTTGTTATACACTTTAACCTTACCTTTTATATGTCGCTTTTATACATACGTAATAATGTATCAAGCACTAACAAGATGAGTTTTCAATATCAATTTACAAAAGTGTAGGCCGTAAATCGAAACCAATTTATGAACTTGAATATCATTGTAGGAAAAACAGCGTACCTTTTTTACCTGAAATTTTAGGAATATTGTTTTATTATATAAAACAATTGATTTTGAATAATATAAAAGAGTTTTATTGACCCCAAAAATTTGTGTTCTTATATATCATAGCAATCATAATAATTATGCTTATGAATACACCTCCTCTAATTAATAAGAGGTAAATTTTTTTAATTCATTTTATTTGGTATCAAATATTACAATTTAGAAGCTTATGAGTGTAAATTTATTCGCAAAATTATTAATTTTATAACGCAAAAGAAGGGGTAGCACTTTGCTGCTATTTGATACTGCAAAGTGGTTTCCCCTTCCTTTACATTTTACATCCAAACCTAAGTTATAATTTTAATTTAGTTTATTTGATATACTGTAGGAAGGGGCACCGCGCTTCTTGCTAATGGATACATAAGCGCGACGATTTAACCCAACCTACAGTCCTATAAAATATAAATATTGATGTATGTATTTCAATATACTTCACATTCAGAAGCGGGCACCGCAGCACTGCTATTGGGTACTGTGCTGAGATAATTTAACCTCTTCTTCACGTACTTAATTTAGTGAAAATATTTACACGGTAATTTTACAATTTTTCAATCAAATATCCTAGGTGGCCATTAAACCTAAGATTATTTAATACTTAATTGGAAAGGGGCATCGTGCTTTTTGTTATTTGATACATAAGCACGATGATTTAACCCATTCCACGGAGCTGCAGTTATAAAAAGTTATTTAATAACGCAAAGATGAAGGCACCACGACACTGCAATTGGAAACATGGTTGAGGTAATTTAACTTCTTCCTGGTGTATTTAATTTATGATATATTAACACAGAATTATATAAAAATGTTTTCAAATTAGTTTGACACATGGCAGTAATAGGTTATACATAGTACACAGAAGTAATAAAAAGTAAATCACATCGATTCAAATTTGCACGGACGAGTCAAAAAATAACAAATAATATATAAAACATACAGAATAAAATAATGAAATGGTTAGGGTTTTTTTTTAATTTAATGTATAATCTTAACTTACTCGTATATAAGAAAAATACAAAATGCGTTAAAATAACAAATAAAACAGTGTTTTCAGAGCTCAGAAACAGACTGAAATTTATATATCCGATAAATTCTAAAAAAAATTCTGGAAGCACAATCAGGCATATAGGAGGTGTACCTAATTTTTTCATTTGCAGATTTTGGTTTTGGGTACCTAATTTTCAAAGCTCAAAATCTCAAAAAGTTTTCTAGGACACAGATTATATTTTATCGCTTATTTTAAGGGGCATCTAATGGTTTATTTAAGGTATTTTTTTCTTTTGATTTAGAAATTTAACAATAAGAGTTGGGAGGTCCTGAAAACTACATTTTAATTGTATTTTCAGTTTTACAGGAAAACGTAGCCTCCTAGCCCAATTCTGACAAATTTTTCCTGAAAATTTTAAAACTGCTATAACTTAAGAACTAATGCACCGATTTGAGTGGGATTTTTGCAAAGTAATTGTATATATTAGTCAAATCGAATAAAATAAAATAAAATAAGATAAAATTAAATTGAAATAAATAATATTAAACTTATATAATACTTATACAAAGCCTTAATTTATTAAGCGGATCTGTAGTCTACTTTGTTGGCGATTCTGTCCCTCATGGCACGAAGTCTTGGGCAGGAGTCCGAATTGGCTGGGTGTTTGAAATCTGCTTTGACGTTGAATTTTGTGTTATGTGAGTGGCAGTTGCGGCACTTTGCAGTGTTCCGATTATTTTTCACGGGGCAGTCACTGAGTTGGTGTTCATTGCTGGCGCAGTGGGAGCAGAAGCTCTCTTGTGAGGTGCATCTCGTCTTCATATGTCCAAACTGTAGGCATTTATGACATTGCAGAAAGGGTGAAAATTTTTCCAGGTGGATTCGCTGGTGGTCAATGTATACGCGGCCCATCTCCATCATCTTTCTGTAAATTTTGGACCTACTAGGAAAACTGCGTTATATAAGTTCTCATTCCTATCGTTACGTTTAAATCGGAGCGATAAATATGTGTCGGTGATGTTGATAATGTCGTTCACAATCTCCGCAAGCTCTGTGTTTTGGTGGCGTATGATTTTCACTAGGTCCGTAGCCGTAGGACCGTCCTAAGCCATATGTATCCATCGACTTCCTATATCTCTTACCAGATCATAACTCCATCTAATAGGGAGCCGTAAACTTCAATTTCTCTAGAACCATTTTTTCTACTATTTTTTTAAGTTTACAAAAAATACACATGCGAATGAAACATGAAACTAATTGCCATGCAGATGGCTGAAGATCGTGATTTGTGGTAAAACTTGGGAGAGACCTTTGTTCAACATTGTACTCATGAATGGTTGTAATAATAGTGGATGATAGTACCCCGTATAATTTTAGATAGCGTTTCTCCTAACTTTCTAGCTCTTGCTATTACAGTTTATATAAAAAAAAGTTATTAGTTAATGTTACAGCCTATATAAGTCCCACTGCTGGGCACAGGCCTCTTCTCATTTTTGATCTGAACAAGTTATGTACCTATTTAAACAAAATTTTAATTACCTACTTTGAGTTTTTTTTGTTTCGGTTCATTAAATAAGACACAAAGTTTTTATGACGTATATTATTTAATTAAATTAATTAAAGAATTATTTTGCCCCGAGTTTTACTTATAAAATGATGAAGTATTTTTTTTATTCAGCTAAGAGACACATTTCCCTACATTTAATTCTTACAAATGCTTTTTCAGAGGAAATTTATTCTGCTCGAGGGGTGCTCTCGTTTAGTACACAAACATTAACATAAAGAAGATTACGTGCCTACGGTGAATCAACTTACTCTCTTCTCAACTCTACTCAAGTCTGCATATCTGGATCACTCTAGTTAATTTTAGGAAGTAAGATGCGAGATGTTTGTTAAATCAAATTAAATTAACAGTTTTAGACAAAATAGTAACACTGTTATCATATATCATATTGTTACGAGCTTGAGGTTCGTGACGATAAAAATTGCCGATAAAATTACCTAAATTAACACTTTAATTTACTTTACACAAATTAAAACTTAAAACACTAATAATTAAATACACTAATTCACTTAATTCCGCTCCGAAGCTTCGCTCGTATCGCCAATTCAGTACTACTTCTATCGCATCTTGCAGCGCCTATTTATTTAAATTAGCAAAGAAGCATCCGGAATATTCAAGTAAATGCGCGCAAAGGGACGAGTGTGCGAGTGTAGATTTTCTAGAAACTTAGTACTTCGGATGGCGCTGTCGGTTGAGAGATTTGTGATGTCATTTTCTGCAAAGCTCCCTTCGCTCTCGTTCCTGACACTAGATGGCGCTAGTTGACTTATTCACGCAACACTGCCCCCTCCTAAAACATGCTCGTCCCGAGGTATACCCAGAGGTCCCATAATAACGCGCCAAGCGATCCACATGGACGATCTTAGGAGTCCCTCTTGCGCCTTTCTGTATCCGGTAGGTCACATCGTTGATCCTGGTTACAATCCGGTACGGGCCGTCCCATTTAGCTTGAAGCTTAGGAGATTTCCCTTTGCTGCGGACTGGATTGTGCAACCACACTAATGAACCTTCGTTGAACCCTTTATTGTTCATTTTGCGGTCGTACCGGGTTTTCATTTTCTCAGACATTTGCTGGCCCGATTGTCTGACGTGCTCATAAATGTCATTCATTTTGTTCCAAGTCAAGCAAGTCATTTGCATAATCGGTTATACTGCGTGGGGCATCAGGTGGTATCCCGGTGATCAGGTCTGCAGGCAGCCGTAATTCTCTTCCAAAGTTTGCGAAAGCTGGTGTCACTGCTGTACTTTCGTGAACAGAACGTCGATATGACAACAAAAACGGTTGTATATGCTTGTCCCAATCTCGTTGCCGATTGTCTACAACTTTTGCTAGGTACCTCTCCAATGTCTGATTAAATTGTTCCACCATTCCATCAGATTGCGGGTGATAAGAAGTCGTTCTTGTTTTATGAGTACCCAAAACTCGGCAAGTTTCCTGGAATATTTGAGACTCAAATTCCTTCCTTGATCGCTGTGAATCTCTAAAGGTACTCCAAAACGACAGAAGACTTCATGAACTAGTTTATCTGCAACTGTTGAAGCTTCTTGATTTGGAATGGCGAAGACTTCTGGCCACTTAGTGAAGTAATCCATCACAACCATGAAATACTTGTTACCGCTTTCACTCTCCGGAAACGGCCCCGCCACGTCAATGGCTATTCTCTCCCATGGTGCACCAACATTGTACAACTTCAATGCACCTCTACTACGAGTCTGAGGTCCCTTTACAGCCGCACAACTTGTACATTTGCGACACCAGTCCTCGACATCGTTTCGACAGTGGACCCAATAAAACCGTTCTCGGATCTTCAGTAGAGTTCGTTTAACTCCCAGATGGCCTCCGGAACAATCATTATGGTACAGCTGTAGAACATCCGGTACTTTAGTTTTAGGGACAACCATTTGCAAATGACAGCTGCCTCACCGACCATTTTCCTATTTACGGCACAGAACTCCATCCTGAAGCAGCAAGCTGTCCCACTGGGCCCAATAGCTTTTAGTGGTCGAACTCATTGCTGAGACGTCGCTCCACTTAAGCTTGGGAGCACTGGCCTTTATCCATTCTAGAATCGGCTTGATGTTCGGATCTTCCTGCTGTGCATGTTGTAAGCTGTCCTTCCATGCGTTGCTGAGGTGGTCCGTCCTGAGCATCCTCACGGATACCTCTTCCTTACTCTCTTGCCTAGTACAATGGTTGCAATCTTCAGGACAAGGTCTTCTTGACAATGCATCTGCGTTGCCGTGAGATTTTCCGCTGCGATGTTCGATCTCAAAGTCGTATTCCTGCAGTAGTTCAATCCACCTCGCAACTTGTCCTTCTGGATTTTTAAACTGCAATAGCCATTTTAGTGCAGCATGGTCAGTTCGTAAGTGAAACTTTCGTTCCAGAAGATATTTGCTAAAATGCTGCAACGACTTTACCACAGCGAGCAATTCGCGTCTTGTGACACAATAGTTCCTTTCCGGTTTTGACAACGACTTGCTGAAGTACGCTATCACGACCTCTTGGTCACCATTCCGTTGAGACAACACACCGCCAAGTCCTATATCACTTGCATCTGTGTCAACTATAAATTCTTTGCTTGCATCAGGGTATCCCAAAATAGGTGTTTTGCACAGACGGTCCTTGAGCTCCTGGAATGCGATATTGCAACTTTCATCCCAGCAGAAATGTCGCTTCTCCTCGGTTAACTTGTGCAGAGGTTTGGCTATATCTGCAAAGTTCTTCACAAATCGCCGGTAATAGGAGCACAAACCCAAAAATGCTCTAACCTGCGTCTTGTCTTTTGGAACCGGCCAATCCTTGACAGCGGCGATTTTCTCTGGATCTGTGCGGATACCTTCTTCCGATACTACAAACCCCAAAAAGTTAACTTGCCGTTGGAATAGTGAACATTTCTTCGGGCTCAACTTGAGGTTGGCACTCTGAATCTTCATGAGCACGCGTTCCAGGTTTTGAAGGTGTTCCTCAAACGTACGGCCTACGATGATGATGTCATCCAAGTAGACCAGACAGGCATCGCCAATTAGCCCGGTAAGTACAAGTTCCATCAGCCTTTCAAACGTTGCTGGAGCATTGCACAACCCAAACAGCATTACTTTAAATTCCCACAGACCCTTTCCCGTCGAGAACGCAGTTTTCTCCTTGTCCTTAGGGTCAATTTCAACTTGCCAGTAGCCACTTTTTAGATGCAGCGTGCTAAACCACTTTACTCCTGTAAGCATGTCCAGCGTGTCATCAATTCTTGGCAAGGGATAGCTGTCCTTCTTCGTAACGTCGTTCAGACGGCGGTAGTCAACACAAAACCGCATGCTGCCATCCTTCTTCTTCACCAGCACCACTGGTGAACACCATGGACTAGAGGAAGGTTCAATAACACCATCCTTCACCATTCCTTCAATCATGGTTTCCACTTCATTTTCACGTGCTACCGGCAAGCTTCTTGGCCGCTGACGGATAGGCAATTCTTCTCCTGTGTTTATTTTGTGTTGAACTAAGCCAGTCTTTCCTATGTCAGCATCGTTTGATGAGAATACATCGGCGTACTTGAGTAACAACTTCTTCGCCTTGACCAATTCGTTCGGGGAGAGAACACTGCGACAGTCTTCCAAAAGTGTGGTCACTCTCGTTTCTGCATCCTTGCTGGGGGTCCCAGTCGATAGATATTGGCACCGACATAACCAATCCACTTCCTCACAAGTACCAATCAGTGTGCCTTTTTCTATAATCTGTGCCCGGTCGCAAAGGTTCAGCACACGTACTCCTGAGATGTCAGTGGTCCTGACCAAGGTTCGAGCTACTTTCCATGGAAGGTCATTGTTTACCCTTTCCACAAGTACACATCGGTGAGCTTGCCCAGCGTTTCGAGGAAGACTAACCGGAACAATCGTTTCCGATCTCGGCGGAAGAACAATCTTCTTAATGCTGTACACGTTCCCTGGTAACGCACCTTCCATAAAAAGTTCCTCCTGTCCACATTTTAAAACACCTTGCTTAACGTCGATCTCACAACAATTATTCCTCATAAAGTCTAGGCCTAGGATGCAGTCGTCCATTATATCAGCCACGATGACATTATGCAGGTAGATCACGTTGCCTAGCTTCAACTCCATCTCCTTCTCTCCACGGACGGGTATACGCTGACCGGTGGCTGTTACCAAATTAATGCGTTCTCGGTTGTATGCGGAGTCCCAAAGGAACTGACTTATAAGTTGGGAACTAACAACCGTACGAGAGGCTCCAGTGTCTATGGTCAGTTTACACGGCATTCCGTTGACCTCGCCCTTAATGATTAGACTGTTCCCATCATGGGTTTGTGAGATCGAGATCCTTGGGGCTCTTTTAACATCAGCCAGC